TTTCTGCCCTAAGGTTAACGTTATTCAGATTTCACACATGTATATTACAGGGAATGTGTGAAACCAGGGATTTCACGTAATTCCTAAAACAGTCAGTGATTTCGTGAAATCACTGAGACCCCCTAGGGATTTCATGTATTCCCTAAAATTTAGAACTGAGGGATGAAATGAGACTCAACACTAAAGTTTTAAGCTACAAACATAAATTTCACACATTCACTGATATCCTAACAGGGAATGTGTGTAATGGAACGCCATGAACATCAGTAATTTCATGAAATCCCTTGAAATTTTAGGGAATACCTAAAATCGCTGGGGATCACAGTGATTTCACGAAATCACTGACTCTTTAAGGGATTATGTGAAATCCCTGGCTTCACACATTCCCTGTAACATATATAAACAGGTGCAACCAAAAAATAGCCTCATGAACGTTCTACTGGGTCTTGATGAATAGCCGATTACTCGATCGATGAGGTGTCAAGAATCCTGATTATTTTGCAGTTCAACTTTTGTCCATTTCGCAAGCCCTGCAATGGTAGATGGACATGGCTATGAAGCAGTTATTTTTGCAGATACCATGGCAACATTTAAAGCTGTAGAAGCTGGTGTAAATAGATCCAGAAATGAAATTGTTTATAAGATATTACAATATCCTGAAGTTGATGTAGAATTTTGAAGCTGTCTTTTCGAAATCACTTTCAAGGAGATGGCAACAGTTGTGGGGTGTTGGTACTACCGGCCGACATATGTACAAACTTGGACCATCTTCAAAATCTGGTCCTAAAATCCATCGTCATGATGAGGTTGACGCCACTTCGTACACTGAGAGCTAAATGCCTACAGGAGTGTCACTGATAAGACGGTATCGTCTAAATGTGGCCATAAAATATGAAGACGCCCCCAAATATTAAACACTATTAAATTACATGCCCTGGACATAACAACATCAGTCAAAATCTGTTAAGTGCTATAAGTGTAGTTGATGATACATTTTCTTTAGTAACAGTATTGCGCCCCAGTGTCATGTACAGGTCCGTGGTACATGTAGATTTTGTCTCGTCATCTAGAAAATATGTTGTAATTTAGATAGGCTCTCATAAGGCTTTGACAGATTTAGTTCTATGATTTTAAATCACTGTAACGTTCTGTCATATTGATCTGCTACTTTTTAACTGAATGAGTATTTCATGTTTCAGAAATGATTGTATGCTTAAGGTCTAAATCTCTTACATGAAGCAGAGGTTACCCTTGCGTCTGTTGTATTCGCTCATCATTGATTTTATATTATTCGGGCAAACATTACTTTCAAACAAATATTCTTGTAAGTCAACAATACACAACACAATAGTGCTTGTAAGTAATCTGAGTACAACTGTTAGTGTATCTGTCTGTCTGTCTGTCGGTTTGTCTGTCTGTCTGTCTGTCTGTCTGTCTGTCTGTCTGTCTGTCTGTCTGTCTGTCTGTCGGTTTGTCTGTATGGATTGATGGGTATATATACCAAGTTGTGTAATATACCTGCATGTACATGTTTGTTGTTTTGTTAAAACGAAGCTCAAGCTTGAGGCTAAAGTGACAGAAAGAAACACCGCCTGCATGCATCGCCTTATTAACCTATAAAGATGATCAACATTTTAATTCGTCTTTTGTATCTTTCATTCCATCTCATCTTAAAAAGTTCAGGGTTAGAATTGGTCTTCAGCAACTCATGCTTGTCGTAAGAGGTGACTAACGGGATCGGGTGGTCAGGCTTGCTGACTTGGTTGACATATCCCAGTTTCGTAGAGCGATGCTCGTGCTGTTGATCACTGGATTGTCTGTTCCAGACTTGATTATGTAAAGGCCGCCGCCATAGAACTCGAATATTGCTGGGTGCGGCGTTAAACAATAATCAATCGAAAGAAACGAAGCAAATTCGTCCAGGTGAGACAAGTGTGATAGCAAACAACACCAAAACAGCATATCAGCACATTGAAACATTAGGGATTGTGGTGGCTTAGTGCTTAAAGCGTTCGTTCGTCATCCCGAAGACCCGGGTTCGATTCCCAACATCGGAACAATGTGTGAAGCCCATTTCTGGTGTCCCCATTGTGATATTGCTAGGACATTACTAAATCTGGCGTAAAAATAAACTCACTCGCTCACATTTAAACAATCATCATTTGTACTGTGTGAACTGTGTCACGTGGCGGTGTTCATTGTGTATTAATGTTCCATTTGTAATACATTGTATATGTGAATAGTCAATAAGGAACAGTGGTGCGCTATATTTAGACTTGAACTATATTCACAAAAGACAAGCTGGAGCTGCTACAGGGTACTACAATCCGATAAGCTGCAAGAGAACCTATAGCATCTTCTAGCATCTTTCTATTAGGGTAGTTAACACTAGGCTCTCATTTCACATTGCATTAAATATCTAAGCTTATTGTAAGCATGGATCCTAGGTTTAAGTATGTCATTTCATCTTATGGACCCGAAACCTGCTATTGACAGGTGTTCTGTACTTGTCAGTGGCTCATTCCAAAATTTGCAAAATGGCTGACTGGTGCCATGAAAACCATTTTTATGGTTACTCATGTATCAGGTGCATAAGGTTGGATTAAAGTGACTGTTTGCCTAAAGAGGGTTACCATATTATAACTTATCCAGTTTTAAATGGATACAATTTCAAATTATGAATCTACGTTTAAAGTTGTGAACTTTTGTGATCCTTAGCAAAGTGTGAGTAGTAGATTATGCCCTGCATAGGAATATAGTTGCATTCGGTGTTCTTGTTATTTATTACCTTGGCAGACGTACTGCCACGTTGTCTTGTACTGCCATTGTGATTTGTAATGATTTTTGTGAAGTTACAACTTTTGATTACATCGCACTTCTTTGTTGTTTGTTGCTTTCACATATAGCAGAAGAAGAGTGAGTGAGTGAGTTAAAATTTAAAGTCACATCGGCAATATTTCAGCCATATCGTGACGAAAACAAGTTTAGAATTCACCATAAATACATGGAGAAGGTGGCTCTTCACGGGTGCTTAGAAGAAGAAGAGCTTTATTCAGTATTTATGGCCACATGACCAAGAGTACAATTCAATAAACAAAATAAAGCACATGGACAGGTGCAACATTTACAATTTATACAGGTAAATATAGTTTAAGATAAACTGCAATATATTTTAGGGGTTTTACATTCTATATTGCAAGCAACTAATTAAACTTTGATCTGGTTGGAGATATAATATACAAATCAGGAATGTATCAAGAGCGCCGTTGTGAATACAATCGACATACGAGCAAGAAATGACATTCATCTTGCATCAAATTTCAATTACATTTATCACATTTCATGGAATCAGCATTTACCTTATTATAATGTTGAATTTTAAGTTTATAACTCATGCATCTGAATTTGAATAAAACACGTAAGAGATCTTTATCACAAACAAAACTCTGATCTATATTTTTCAGGTTCAAGTACAGATTTATATGACGAGTAATGATTTAAGAATGACGAAGAAGTAATTTTTGCATACCAATTCTGGATATCTGTATCTTTACATATCTGTTTAAAAACACTTATAAAACTTGTTAAAACTTGCCTTCTGATAACCACACAAAAGAAAATTCAAAGTGAAATAAAAGTATACGTACATCGATTGCAACCACCTTTGTCGTCGTATGTTTTTAACATTTCAAAGCATGCCTTTGGAATACGATAACTTTCCATATGCAGGAGTCTACACCAGTACTTGATACAACGGGTGAAATACTGTACACAAAGATGGCTTCTACCCGTTTCACCGAGTACAATATTTGAAGATACATTTTTGCTAACATGAAGATATCTTTTGAAATAATAACTTTTCATTTTTTCAATATTTGCACGATAGATAAACCCCCATATTTCTGCACCATAAGGCGAAATCGGTGCAATTTTGCTATCAAATATGGTAGATGACACATTCAAAGTTATATTTTGATAAGTTTTGAAAAGAGAAAATATAGGAAATGAAGCCTTCCTGGCTTGTAAAGCTAACGTTTCACATGCTTTAGACCAGGACAGTTTTTATGTGAAAACAATGTCAAGTTATTTATAATCAGATGAAACATTCATGTTTGTACGAATATAAAGCCGTTTTTCGTTATTTCGAAGATAGCCATTATTCCTCAAATTAATAATGCAGGATTTATGTAAGTTAACTTGTAGACCCCATTTGATATAGAATCATTTCAACGTATCCAATTTGTTTCGTAAACACATTAATGTGTCACCAATGAGAGTGACCTCATCTGTGAATAACAATAAAGGCATATCATTCATACCATTTTCTGAGGCTCGTTTAGGAGGTAATAACGGTCAAAGAGACTTTAGTAATGAAAAATATTGGTGGAAGTGAGCGTATTGTTTGATATTTTACATAATAATGTCAGTGTAGATGTTTAAATGTCCCATTTATTATGATTTGAGAGAGAAATATTTTCCATACATTCAGTTAAAAATAAAAGACACAAGCTTCAAACATCACTGTTCCAGAAAACATAAAACCTCGGCGAATGGCCATTCATAGTTCAGACTCCGCTAAGTGTTAAAGACGAGACTATTTTTAATCAGTACTACCTGCTTATGGTTACTCAAACCCTATGTTATTCTTGAATAAATAAGTTAGAATAACTCGCGTCTGGTCACATGACGGTAAGACTTTTACGTCTAAGTTCGTATGATGCTTTCTTCCAGCCATGGTTTCTGAAGCCATTACACACAAGCACGCATGCACGCACGCACACACACACACACACACACACACACACACACACACACACACACACACACACACACACACTTGTAGACCCCATTGAGCAATACTGATTGATAATGACTTCAATGTTACAGTGTAGATCAATATTCAAGTCAAAACTTTTGCCTGCCCAACAGATCAGAAAATGTTTCCACACATATTCGGAAACGGTATGAACATGGAATTGAGAAAGATCATCATTAATTGTGTTTTAACTTACTCAGACATGGGCATTGCTCGTCGGTGATATTAAAGATACGCTGGAAATCAGCCTTAGCGTCTACCAGGAGGTCCAGGAGCTCCTGAATCTTGTTAGGAAGCTCATCAGGTCCAGGGTCAGATCCCAGGGATGGCACAAGAACAACCAGAAGAACCAAGAAGTGTCTGCTGTCGAACATCGTCATATTGATTCCGAATGACTTATCAGATCATCTTCACGAGTTATTATTGCCAGTGGAAAGTTAGGTGGACCAATGAAAATACTGACATGTGTCGAATATTGTATTGATCATTTAATATAACACATGTTCGTATTGATTTTTAAGCTTGAGAAGGTTTTTACCAAATATCTCATTCTCTTGTACTTATTATACTTTAAGATTGAAATTACACGCAATAAAAGTCATTACTGCAAATTTAATGAAAGGACACGTGTTATGTAATACAGCTCATTGTAGATAGTAGATCTACAGAAATCACATCTAGTTGTATATGCCACGTGTCTATTCATTTCATGAGCATACTGATTGATAATGACTTCAATGTGTTAATATTTACACCCGGCATAGGTTTGTATAAATCCATAGATATTTGAGACTGATACCTTTATGGACATAGGTGCGTACACAGATGAATTTTCTGTTCCTTTTCAAACAAAGAGGTTAAGAATTCCTTGGCACAAACAACATATCCTTAACGACATGATGGCATGTATCGTTGGTGCTACTATGGTATGCCTGTGTCTTTGACTACGAGGCCAATCCATGGAAGGACTCTGATCATTATAGGCAAACTTTATGGATAAAATCTTCTTTATGTGCTAGTCAAGCAGGAATACCTGACAACGATACAAGAATCTGTATCTAAACGTCGCACTCACGAATTAAAAAAGTTGTTGTCCATAAAGTTTGTCTATATATTACTAGCCTACTTCTAAAATGCCATCAACGAAGTGATCCTGAGCATAATGGAAAATGCTGCTTTCAAGCTTCTTTGGAATAGGCCAATATACAGTCTAAGAAGAATTCCTTCCAATAATCCTGCTTCCATGTTGAGAAAGGCAATGAAACATTTATGCTATAGAGTATTCCGTCACTTTTGAGACCATGGTGATTGGCAAGAAAAGCATGCTAATTATGCGGACCTCCTCTTTGAAATGTCTCGCATGCATCCCGAGTACACTGTCAATAGACTCCCTGTGTTTAGTGCCTCTTGATCTCTTGGCGCAAATATCTAAATCTAAATTATTTTGAAGCCCTTTTGCCATTACCTCCTGATCCTTGGCGCAGGCAATGAGAGTGCCTAGGTTCTCCACCAGGAGCAGCCCTTCTGACAGTCAGGGTAAGGTAGAATTAATCAGGTTTTAATCTTCAAACTATATTCATCTTTATTTTATAAACTGTCCTCGTCATGATATGTCTGAAATATTGCCGATGTAACGATAAATGTTAACTCACTCACTCGCTCTTTAATGAACGCCCCTCGTATCGTTAATGTCACCTTATGTCCATTATTACACATCATTGCCACATATCTCAACTTATGTCCACTATTACACCTCATGGCCACATATCTCACCTTATGTCCACTATTACACCTCATGGCCACATATCTCACTTTATGTCCACTATTACACCTCATGGCCACATATCTCACCTTATGTCCACTATTACACCTCATGGCAACATATCTCACCTTATGTCCACTATCACACCTACTGACGACATATCTCACCTTATGTCCACTATCCCACCTGTCATCCACCTTATGCAGACTATCCCACTTCTTGGCCACGTATCTCACCTTATGTACACTATCCCACACTATCCCACTTCATGGCCACATATCTCACCTTATGTCCACTATCCCACTTCTTGGCCACGTATCTCACCTTATGTCCACTATCCCACTTCTTGGCCACGTATCTCACATTATGTCCACTATCCCACTTCTTGGCCACATATCTCGTCTTATGTCCACTGTCCCACCTACTGACGACATATCTCACCTTATGTCCACTATCACACCTACTGACCACATATCTCACCTTATGTCCACTATCACACCTACTGACGACATATCTCACCTTATGCCCACTATCAGACTTCTTGGCCTCATATCTCACCTTATGCCCACTATCACACTTCTTGGCCTCTTCTTGGTATCTCACCTTATGTCCCATCCCACTTCTATCTCACTTCTTGGCCACGTATCTCTTTACCTTATGCTAACCACTATCACCTTATGTCCACTTCTACTGGCCACATATCTCACCTTATGTCAACTATCCACTTCTTGGCCACGTATCTCTTACCTTATGTCCACTATCCCACTTCTTGGCCACGTATCTCACCTTATGTCCTCTATCCCACTTCTTGGTCACGTATCTCTCATTATGTCCTCTATCCCACTTCTTGGCCACATATCTCACCTTATGTCCACTATCCCACCTACTGACGACATATCTCACCTTATGTCCACTATCACACCTACTGACGACATATTTCACCTTATGTCCACTATCCCACCTCTCATCCACCTTATGCAGAATATCCCACTTCTTGGCCACGTATCTCACCTTATGTCCACTATCCCACTTCTTGGCCATGTATCTCATTTTATGTCCACTATCACACCTACTGACGACATATCTCACCTTATGTCCACTATCTCACTTCTTGGCCACGTATCTGACCTTATGTCCACTATCACACCTACTGACCACATATCTCATCTTATGTCCACTATCCCACCTTCTTTCCCCATATCTCACTTCATATCCACTATAACACCTAATGGACACATATCACATTTTATGTGCACTATCCCAACAACTGACCACATATTTCACATGAATTTCATTGCCACAATCACACGGCCATTTATCTCATCGCCTCAATCAGACAGGCAGTCATTTCATCTCATCACCACAATCACAGAGCCACTCATCTCAACTCATCTCATTGCCACAGTCACACAGCCACTCACCTCATCTCATCGCCACAATCACATACCCACTTATCTCGTCTCATCGCCACAATCACACAGCCTCTCATCTCATCTCATCTCATCACCACAATCAAACAGCCACTCACCTCATCTCATCTTCACAATCACACAGCCGCTCTTTTCATCACCAAAATCTCACAGCCAGTCATCTCATCTCACCGCCACAATCACACAGCAACTCATCTCGTCTCATCGCCACAATCACACAGCCACTCATCCCATCTCATCACCACAATCACACAGCCACTCACTTCATCTCATCGTCACAATCACACATCCCCTCTCATCTCATAACCACAATCACACAGCAACTCTTTTCATCACCAAAATCTCACAGCCACTCTTTTCATCACCAAATTCTCACAGCCACTCATCTCATCTCATCGTCATAATCACATAGGCACTCATCCCATCTCATCGGTAAAATCACACATACACTCATCACATTTCATCACCACAATCACACAGCCGCTTATCTCATCGCATCACCACAATAACACCGCCACTTATCTCATCTCATCACCACAATAACACAGCCACTTATCTCATCTCATCACCACAATAACACAACCACTTATCTCATCTCATCACCACAATCACACAGCCACCCATCTCATCTCATCGTCACAATCACACAACCACTCATCTCATCTCATCGCCACAATCACACAGCCACCCATCTCATCTCATCTCATCACGACAATCACACAGCCATTCATCTCATCTCATCGCCACAATCACACAGCCACTCTTATCATCACCACAATCACACAGCCACTCATCTCATATCATCGTCACAATCTCACAGCCAGTCATCTCTTCTCATCACCACAATCACACAGACACTTATCTCATCTCATGACCACAATCACACAGCCACTTACCTCATTTCATCGTCACAATCACACAACCTCTCATTTCATCTCATCGCCAAAATCACACAGCCACTTATCTCATCTCATCGCTAAAATCACACAGTACTCATCTCCTCGTCACAATCACACAACCTCCCATCTCATCACATCTCCACAATCACACAGCCGCTCATCTGATCGCCACAATCACACAGCCATTCATTTCCTCGTCACAATAACACAGCCACTAATTTCATCTCATCGCCACAATCACACAGCCACTCATCTCATCTCATCGCCACAATCACACAGCCACATATCCCATCTCATCTCCACAATGACACAGCCGCTCATCTCATCTTATTGCCACAATCACACAGTCCCTCGATTCATCTCATCGGTACAATCACACAGCCACTTATCTCATCTCATCACCATAATCACAATCAGGATCTTCAGACTTTTGTCGTGTGTGTGTGTGTGCGTGCGTGCGTGCGTGCGTGTGTGTGTGTGTGTGTGTGTGTGTCTTTACCCAGATTAGGTATAACCATAGCGTTTTCTTAAACATGCAGCTGTTGCAGTGTAGAGCAATATTCAAGTTAAAGCTTTTCCCCAACAGATCAGAAAATGTTTCCACACATATTCGGAAACGGTATGAAAAAGGAATTAAGAAAAATCATCATTAATTGCGTATTAACTTACTTAGCTGCTTGCAGGAGTTCAAAGACCTCCTGAAACTCATCAGGTCAAGGTCAGATCCCAGGGATGGCACAAGAACAACCAGGTGAACCAGGAAGAGTCTGCCGTCGAACATCGTCATATTGATTCCGAGTGACTTATCACACCATCTTCACGAGTTATTATTGGCAGTTAGGTGGACCAATGAAAATACTGACATGTGTCGAATATTGTATTGATCATTTAACACATTTCAGTAAAAATACTTGCAAACCCCAGGCCATTTTCTAAACAGCGAAATAGATTGTGAATATAACACATGTTCGTATTGATTTTTAAGCTTGAGAAGGTTTTTACCAAATATCTCATTCTCTTGTACCTATTATACTGTAAGATAGAAATTACACGTGATAAAAGTCATTACTGCAAATTTAATGAAAGGACACATGTTATGTAGTACAGCTCATTGTAGATAGTAGATCTACAGAAATCACATCTAGTTGTATATGTCACGTGTCTATTCATTTCATGAGCATACTGATTGATAATGACTTCAATGTGTTAATATTTACACCCGGCATAGGTTTGTATAAATCCATAGATATTTGAGACTGATACCTATATGGACATAGGTGTGTACACAGATGAATTTTCTGTTCCTTTTCAAACAAAGAGGTTAAGAAGGAAAAGAGGACAATATGCGGACCTCGTCTTTTGTATGTCTTCTTTGAATCCCAAGTACTGAGGAAATATTAATATGAAATGTCGATTGTGCAATGAATCGCTGAGATTGTTTAAATGGAAAGGACTGTCAATTGATCCCAGGCATAGACAACGTATCTCTAACGACACTATGGCATGGCTTGTTGTTGTAACTACCATCCTCACCATGGCTGTGGATCTGACCCCGACGACCACCAATGGTACGACCCTAAACACGTCCCTGGCGTCATGGAGAATCATGTTTTTAAATGTGTTTGGAATTGACCTACCTAAAAGCCACTATCAACAAACCCGATCTTGCTTTTTTGGAGAAAAACATTTATATGTATAAATGAATTTTCTGTTCCTTTTGAAACAAAGAGGTTAAGAAGGAAAGGTGGGCAACATGCGGACCTCGTCTTTTGTATGTCTTGTTTGCATCCCAAGTA